ATCTTTTAATGATTCCTGTGGACAACTTCACCGTCATTTTTTATATTGACCACCAAGGAAGCGCTTGATCTGGACCTTATGCTTTCTGGTTCTAGATATTCTCTTTTGGGCTCATAATCACCACATTAAGTTGTTGGCCTGTCATGTCCCAGGAGCCTTGAACCTGCGACTTATTGTTTGTCTTTCTTGGACCTCGATCCTTGTCATAGAGTGATCTATCTTCTGTTGTTTCCACTTTGAGATTATTCTCATTGGTGCTTTTACAACTTCTCACAACATCAAACTTCCACTTTTTCGGTCATCAATTCCTGACTCTGCAGCTCTAGTAGTAGATACTCTGAGCCAGGATTGAACACACTTTTTTTTTATGCCCTCCTCCTACTCAACTTCTCAAGGATTTTTCTCTTATTTCTGACACCCCCTTCTGGGTCTTTCCTATTTCTTCTCTTTGACTAGTTCAGTCATGGTTTGCACTTCTGCACCTCTTGACAGGAGCCTCTACCTCTTCAAGTTTAGATGTTCCTTTTATGTCAGCCTTGGACATCCATCTATCACTTCAAGATATCATGCCTTCATCTTCATGCGTAGCATTTGTCTAGTCCCTTGCAAGACTGGCACAGCTTTCTCATAGAATAGAATGTTTCCTTGCTCACTCATCCCGACCATTCACCCTTATACTTTATCAAAATGAATGGTTTACCACTGCTGGTCTATTTATTACTCCCCTCCTCCAGGTCATCCAACTCTCTTTTTTTTTATATATATATAATTCTACATGGGCAATTTATCCTTTCTATGGCCACCAGTTATAGAGTGGCTTTGTCAACCACCTTCATCTCTTTTTCTTGCCATTTTCTATTTTGTTCTTACAGTCTACTTTCAAGCATTCCTCATCAGGCACCCTCCTCATCCAGTCACTCTTATGGTTTCCTTTTCAAACTTTTGGCCATGTGTTCTCTGTATAATCTTTTTTTCAAAGACATATTTTCTTCTTGTCTGCATAAGACACTGCTTTGACATTTTTGTTGTAAATGGCTACTGCACTCTTTTTCACAGAGATGAGTTGATTTTATTCTCAGACCACTCATTTCTCTCCAAACTTGAGCTGCTCAGGAGAGTGATTGGATGTTTTCTTCAATCCATTTCTTCTTTATACTATTAGTTTAGTATTATCTTGCTTTTACTGCTCTCATACATGGCAAATCACCATCATCATATTGTCTTGACATGGCATTCCTCTTTTGTTTTGTGAATTATCTGGCTTATTTATTCTTCAAGAGGACACTTGTAAACTATCGTGTTCCTAATCTCATAATCTCCTGGATAAGATCTACACTATGAACCAAGCCATACCTGGTGGTTAGACAAACTGGATTGATCCTACATTCTCCTCGAGAAGGAAATTTGAGGTATTTTCTCCCTTCACATTATTATTCTGATAGGTATCTCGCCTAACAATTTCTCCATATAGTACAGCATGACTTACTTTTCTATCCACACTACACACCCATCCTCAGCCAACTGCCTGAGAGATAATGGTCAGTTGAGCAATCTGACATTCTGCCATCAATGCGACACTTTAGCACCACATAGAAGGTTATTTTGCCAATATCTTTTAATCCTTCACCTTTATTGGCAAAGAGTATTCCTCATGTGAGAAGGTTGCTGTCTCCCACTGAGCAATGTAACTGACTATGCCACTTCTCCAGTGGGTGACATGATTCATGGGATTTCTCTTTCTGACACTATGATTTCAAAAAGGTGATATGCATGTGAGTTCTTTATCTATAGCAGTCTCTCCACCATCTTATCAGTGTGGGATTCTAGTTCTTTGTTGCACAGAGATTTGAGTAAATATTTCTTAAGTTAACATTTTCCTTACATGAAAATGCATTTCAGATAAATGATTAACTCTACACAACCTTCCACCCCACTCCACTTCCAGTATATTTATTTTGACTCATCAAAAATGAGCCTTTGATTGAATGCAAGTGCTCATGGGGATTTCTGAGCATGGAGGATGTCTTGCCCTTATATTGGTGGAGGGATACAGTCTAATGATTACATCATAGGTTGGTACAATACACATTAATATGTGTTGGGTGGGAGCTTCATTGAAAGCTTGTGGTATGCACAAAAGTCTTCACAGCAGTGGTTCAAGGTAATAGCTCTTTGTTGTGCAGAGAGTATATTAGAAGATTTAATTGCAGTGTAATTAAATAGAGTAGAATATTGAAACATTTTAATAATGTAGACATGTATACAGCAAATTAGCTGTATGTGCATTGATAGTATTTTTTAAAGTGCACTAAAAACATGATTTTTATTAGACATATAATATATTCATCTTTGTTTTATGATTTTATTTTTTACTTTGGTATTGAAATAAAATGCTGAACCAATGAAACAGTCAATTCTTCTGTATTTTAAATTTGGAAAGACATGATCTTGTGTCAGCTCAACAAATATGAAGTTTCCTGAAACTTGCAAATTCACAGTTATTGATTTGGTTCTGTTGGATTTGTTAAGGAAATCTATTTATGCCATCCAGTCTTTATAAAGTAAGCATATTTAATAGTTGTGATAACATGGTGTGACATGCTGTGGCAATTTATAACATTAAATTTACAAAGTTAGTATTTCATAGTATCATATGTGTTATTATTGTCATGATTTCTGTTGAATGTATCAACATTATTTACAGTTATATATATTTATAATAATAGATTGTTATTCTGTCTACATGATTATTATATAAAGAATGTGATAAATTTCAAACATAAATATTTTGTAAAGTGAAATGGAAAAATGTATTAGTAGAATAATTATCTTGTTGTACAGTCACAGAATAATTTACAAAGAGGACATGTACTATGTGTCAGGGTTTAGTATATGTGGTGGGCTGAGGATTCTTCTACAGTAGGTGTCTGTGACTTGTTTGCAATATATTCAACAATAAACGGACAGCAAAAATTCCACTTGTTTTATAATAATGTATTCAAAACAAGTCAAACTATGTACAAAAATTCTATGGATATCACAGGTGTATTTCCAATTTTAAATAATTCTTTTTTTTGTCAAAAGTCCACTTATGTTGATTCAATTACTTTAGAATCCAATTGACAAGACAAACTATTTTTCTGTGCTCTTGTCACAATAGTATCGGTGACTAATTCACTTATGCTACCCTGTGGGTTACCACAGTCATATATTGAACTTCAAATAATTGTCTCCTTTTTGTCAAAGTCCGCACAGATGGGTTCAATTATTTTAGAACATCCTTTGACAAGACAAATTAGTCTCCTTACTTCTGTGAAACTCACTTTAAAATATCGCCAGTTATGACTATTCACTCACACGGAAGCTAACTTCATGTTTTCTAACTTTTCTTTGACTGAATTTTTCTTTCACTTCACTTTACTTGTGCTCGTTTGGTCACTATTATCTTTATGTTGATCAATGAGGCCTGTAACTTTCTGTAAAGTGCATGAATGGTGCTGATTTAACAATACTCCATTACAGTAATGAGGAAAATACTGAAGATTCGAGTTACGTGATGTCAAAAATATAATTGCAAATATAACATACGACTCTTACCGAGTTACGGAACCAAACTTGTCATAACTATCGCCTTTAAAATGATAAACTTTTAACTCTCTTGTTATGAAAAACTAAACAATCATTAAATATTGACTCTCAAAATAAATTAATTAATAATACCTACAAACATTCTGTTTATACAACAAGCCAATTTGTAATAACTGAAATTCATTCATGATTTTTAGAAACCTTTGGAGGTCTTCAGGGCATCAAAGTACAGATATGCTTAAAGTATTACATTATTTAAAAGTACTTAAACTCTATCAAAACGTATATGGTATTTTACATACATTATTTAATACTACTAACAAAACAGCTTTAATTAAAGTTGACTTTAATATAGTAACAGAGTAATAATATATTGGGTGTTGATTAGCACAGAAATAGGAATAGTGAAACAATTAAGTTTTAATTAAATACAAGTACACATAATAAAGAAAACAAACATAATTACATGAAGCATTTATTAAATATTTTGAAATCTTCATTAAGCTAGAGGTAAAGAACATACATAATGGTAATTACACAAAAAATATGATATAATCTGTAATAAATAAGAAGAAAACAATTTGAATAAAAAAAAAGAACAGGAGAAAATGAAAAGTATGTAGTGTAAATGAAGAATGTGTGTTATTTAGAGATGGAAGAAGACTTTTTATGTATATTTTTTATTCGAAGTTCAATGTCATGCTTAGCTGTTGAGAGGATTTTAAAGGTGAAGAGAGAAATCTAATGGCTTCTTTCTGTGTTGATAGATAGCAGACTTGGGAGGGTTTATAATTTTATTACAGTTTTTATAGATATGGCCATGTGTTCAAATGCTCATACATTAAGTTTCATCAATATAAGAGGCCTTACAGTCTCAACACATGTACAAATAGATGAGGCATGAATATAGGTAACCGGCACACGATCTTTGTAACAGAAAAAAATTTTAAGTCAGAAATTATATTTAGAAATAACCTTTCAGATCAATTTGAGAATAATAAGAGTTATGTTGTTTTTTCAATTGTTTCATATTAAGGGAGCTTTGTTTTCCACGATATGGTAAGCAGGTACATAAAGGTAGTTTGAGTACAGTGGGTATTTTAGATGGCTAGGAAACTAAATGTTATTATAAGAAAACAAACATTTCCTTCGTCATTGGCTTGTACTGTAATTTTAAAATAAATGTATGTGTGTGATCATTACTTATAGCAATCATATGTACATCAGAATATTTTATCTAAGCTATATTTGTTCTGGCTTTATTCGGTACTTTTATTACTGTTTGAAAGGGTAAAAAAAAAAAAAGACAATTTTAGTCTCAAATGGCTTCTATGGAACTAAGATAGTGTTCTGTATATTTTTAAGTTCACTCTTCTAATAGATGTAACTAAGTTATTGTGTTTCTTCTACAGTTTCATGGTCTGGAAGAAATTTTCACTGAAGGTTGTACGGAAGCAACAAAAGACTACATCAGACGAAAAGTAGCTCAACCATTGTTTGTCATTGCTGGGTTGCTTCTAATCCTAGTCATTCCACAGGTATTTTAAGACATGTCACTATTATATTTTTTTGATAGATTTATCCAAAATAATAATAATAAATATAGGTTATTAAACTTATTTATCATTACAATAACAACATAAATATTGTGTTGGACACTTAAGAAAAATTGATGTTATTAATTTAGAGGTCAGATTGTTTTTGTGTACATATTTTATGCGAAGACATGTTTGATGCACTGATTAATAAATTGTTAAAAACATCGTATGAATACATAGGTTTCTTTTTATAAACATTATAAAGTATATAATCCATTACTCTGATTTCTCTACTTGTTATAATTCACTTATTTCTAAATGTGAATCCCCAAACAGTAAAATAGTAAAACTGTGTAATAGCATTTTGTTTACTGTATGAAATCAATAATTTTATATAAAAGTTATCTGAAGTTAATTATATATTTTTTTATTACAAGTCAACTGTAACCAAAGGCAAAGTAAAACTTCTTATACCCTTTTAGCGTGGTATCTCATGTTTTTTATGAGGGCAAGTGATGATATTAAGTCTTAAATTCTGATATCCACCCTCAAATCAGCTACAAAGTAAAACTGTAACTTAAATGTTCACATTTCTAATCAATGGAAACATACAAATGATAATCATTAGAAACCTGCATGAATAAAACCTGTTTGGATTACTTCTTTACTAATTACCTCATGGCTTTTAATAAACCAATGTGCATGGATTGGTATCTAAATGGCCATCCGGGTGTCAGTAGCCACGTGCTAGTTCTTCATACATGGGCTGTCTCCCAATAAAGACATAACCTTGTTGGCATACCACTGATGGAAGCATTAATTTCAGTGCATCTTTGAACTCTTTGTTTACTGAGAAGTCCAGTAGCGGCAATGCATCTGTGCAACATATGCCAGAACAAATGTACACTAATTGTTGTTTCAGCATAGTTTGACTTGCAGATCTTTGCCCTGGTGAGCTTTAAAAACATCAAAAATGGCTAGGCACTTCTCTGTTGGACATAATTTCAAGCCCAGACAAGTTCATTGCTTTCAATAAGTGGATTATCAACACATCAGTTCAGTTGTACAGCGTAATTCAAAAGGCTTATAGTATGAAAAATGTTACTTATAAAAACAGAATGATGTCTAAAAACTTTTTTTTCTAAATTTATGTAATGAAAAATTGATACATTTTCAAATTCATTTTTCCACTAAAGTTAAAACCTGTGAAACAAGCTTCAATGTAAAACCGTGAAAGATAATTGAATATTAAGTAAACTACAGTACTAATTCTTTTGAATGGAGTGCAAAAATGGCAACATATCACTACTGAGTTGCAAAATGTTAGAATCAGTAATGTAATATTATCATACTGTTATGTTGTTGTGATGACTGTCATTCATTATTGACATAAAACTTGACTAAATGCTTTAGCACAGAATATCTTTAACAAACATTCTGATTTCAATATATATGTTTTCCTAAACCCTTTATTAATAATTCCTGAAGTAGAACAGCTCAAATAACTACATTTTCTTCATGTTCTAAAGTTTGATAAAACCACATTGATTTTCTGGACTTGTACCCAAATAGGACTGTGTATTAATGAAGGTAACTAAACAAAGACAATCACTATAAAGCACCCAAGCATCCCTTCCCCATTTTCATTTTGGTTTTTGAAATTTCACCGGGAAGATTGATGAAGATCATAAGTAATAACTTGGAAAAATGGGAAAAATATGATTTAATATTTCAATTCACATGAGTAATAGTTGGAAAATTTTAATCCTGCTAAATGAAACATATTCAAGGTTTTATTAGATTGTATCATATATATATATATATTATATCAATATTTCTATGGAGAGAGAGAGAATCTGATATATTTATAACTTAACAAAGTTTGAATAAAATCTAATTGAATAACAGCAACTGATGGATCTAAGCTTCAACTAGTGATTACCACCAGTGTCTCAAACTCTTAGGTGACAACCACATTAAACTTCACTGTCATCTGTTAATTGTACATAATGTTATATGAAGCACAATTGATTTAGTTAAGTAACATAAGATTGGAAGATGATAATGCAGTTTCTAAAATGGCAGTAGCAACCATAAAATAGTATTCACAAATAGTAGTAATAAAGCATGCTATCTGATTTGATTAAATGTACCTGTAAAACACCCAGAATGTCATCTGCACACAGATAAATGAATAAAACCAAATCAAAGTAACCATTTACTTCACTATTCCTGTTTTTTGATGTTCTTCACCACTTTTATATGTAAGAAAGGAAGAGTTGATGACACTTGTATTCTTATTGGTTGTAAGGTGATATTACTGGATGTTTCTTTTAGTTCATTATTTTCAATGTATAATTCTGTTTATGAATTAGGTTTTAGATCTTTAAAACAATTTAACAGAATAATGCCAATAGTTACATTATCTCTAATATTTAAGTATAAGGAAAGAAATTCAAATTATATCTATTATGTCTACCATATAATTAGTTTATACTAATAAATATAAGTACTCTTGCGTAATGTTCCAATGATAGTATATTGCTTTTGACCTATGTCATTCATAAGTAAACATGGAAGGGGGTACTGGCTATTAGTAATTGTATTTGACTTAGCAAAAGTAGTACAGCTAATTTTTCAAAAACATAAACCCAGAATACACTTATCTAAATTTTTAGTAAGAAAGTATTATATGATAATAATTAAAGCATTTTTCTCCTATACAGTTTTGTAATTTTAACATCTTGTTTAAACCAAGTCTAATACATACAGTACATTAGTTATCATATGCTTTTATGTTCATGTGTAACAGTATCAGAATCTGTATTTTTCAGATCTTTGTAGCTGTAGTCATGTTCCTGGTAATGAAATGGATCTCCCCTTACCAACAGATGGCATTATAATTTCTTGTTTGTCTTGAGAAGCTCAGTGTTTACCAAGAAAGTGATATTCTAAGAGTGAGAAAAACTACTGATAAATACTGGTATATTTCTAGTTCTTCTGTTATTACAGCATGTATCTACCAAACCTTTGAGTTGTATATTATTAGAGATGTTGACTTTTATATTATACTCTAGCATAGATTGTGTGGTTAATAACAGAAAAAATCTGACTACTTAAAAAAAGCCAGTGAATACAACTGTTATATCAGCATAAATTAAACAAAACAAAAACTGTTGGACAGTTTGTAAATGAAAAAAAATAAATGTTTATTGGTAGTGATTGAATTGACAGTTTGTAAATGAAAAAAAAATAATTGTTTATTGGTAGTGATTGAATTGACAGTTTGTAAATGAAAAAATAATTGTTTATTGGTAGTGATTGAATGTTATTGAGTGGTACATATTTTGGATCAGTACTGTCAGATATTAATTTTTCTGTTTTTATCATTTGTTATTTAAAGATATAAAAGGAAGGGAAATGTGCCAGTCACATATCATTGGGTTTAGCCATTAATTTATATTGTTATCAGAACAAATTACTCTTCAGAAACAGAACAAAATCTTAAAAAAAAATAAAAAAACATGTTTTTCTGTCAATGAGTTCATGTATTCAAAGAAAACATATTTAAGAATAATATGTTGAATTTTATACCATACAATGGGGTGACTAGGGACAGATTTTTCAGAGGGCAACAAATCCATGGCTTTCAATTCTCAAGTTATAGCTTGAAAACAAATAAATATGGTGGATACATAGCCCCAATACTGAATTGGGCAAATAAATGGCAGATGGGTTTTAAATATAATAAATGCAAGATAATGTATGTGGGTTATAATAATTTGAATTACAAGTATAATTTGGATGGGAATAACCTTAAGAAAAGGGATCTTGGTGTAATAATCGATCAGTCTCTAAAGCCATCCAGGCAGTGTGCTGTTGCTAGTGGTAA